AAGCTGTTGTAATAATTTATAAAGCTGAAAGTTAGTTTTTAGTTGATTTTTTTGAGTTAAGATTCTATTAGTATATTCTGTTTAGATTGTGCCAGTTTGTTATATTTTTTATATTTTGTGAATACTTAAGTAACTTCTTAAATTGTAAGAGAAGATATAATGTTGTAGTTTGGAGGTATAGGTGTTGTAAAGTATTTTTTTAGTGTTAATTTTAATAATCATTGTTAGATTTAAAGTACTGGGTTTGATTATTGTATTTATAATTATTGTTTGCACTTTTAGGTCTTTTATATAATTGCTGTTTTTATAGTTACTTTGTATATTCCAAGAGGTGTAGATATCAGTTGGCTAGTCAGATATGTAGAGGTTTAGGCTATATCTATAAAGCCATGAGCTATCTGTTTTTTGTTTGTAGTAATGTTCAGTATATATATATATAGAACAGCAGTAATTAAGGTTAGCAATGCTGTTAGTAAGGCTTTTCTTTGGATAGTCAGATTGAGTTGACAATTTGAAGGCTAATAGTTGTATCAGTTATAGTTCAAACTGCTATAGGATTTTGTATGAAGTTTGTTTTGTTGGGTTGTATATTTATAGTAGTATTTAATTCTTTTTTCTCATAAAGAGAGCTGTATATTTTCCATAGTTATTGCTGTAGGTTAGGTATAGCTTCTATTAAACTTTTTGAGATTTGGTCTTTATATGTTGTAAAGCTATCTAATCGTAATATCTTTTGACTATTGGTGTAGTTCTGTATTGAGGCTGTATACAGGTCTGTGATGTTTGGATATAGATATTTTTTTTGTTCACTTGTATATGTATTAAGTTGTGTATAGAAGTTTTAAAATAGCAGTTTTGTTAGCTTTAAAAGTTAAACCTGTATTTTGTATATTTGGTTAGTTGTAGTAGATTATTTGATGATAGTATCCAGTGTCTAAGGGTAATATGTTGGTTCTTTCTTTTTGAGAATTTTCTAAAGGTTTGGAGTGCTAGACTATAAGTCTATATAATATGTTGATTATTTAGTAGTGGTGTTGTAAAGGAATTAGATTGGATAAGCTGTTTATGTATATCTTCTACAGCTACAATATCATTTAGAAGTGTATTATACTACTTTGGTTGCCTGCCTTTGGGTATTCTTTATATATTGTGATGTGATTTTTGCCAGTTTAATATCTGTATGTGAGAGGAGTTCGTTAAATGTTTGATAAAAAAAGATGCAATGTGTATTTAGTTTCCTTTTTAAGGCTAGAGCTTTTAAGTTTGTATATAATAGAAGTTTTAGTTTGGCCTAATAGTACTGGCTAGGCATTGTACTCATTATGAAAAGTAAGTTGTATATTGTGAAGTTCAAGTATTATTTGTATAGTAATTGTTTTGCTTTCAGGTAGTGAAAAGATAGGTTGATAAGTAAATATAGAGAGGTTTGTAGTAGCAATATTTTGTAGTTGCTATAATTGTATTTTTAGTGCAAAGGAGCTTAAGGATAGGTAGTTAAAAATTTTGAATAAGTTGTTAATATGTTGTAATTGTTGTATATTTTGAGTTGTTTTTAGGCTATAGATTCAATTATAAAATAGTGTTGAGCTTAGAATAATTGTAATAAATCTTGCTTTGTATTTGGTAAAGTTAGTATAAAACTTAGTAATCTTATCTAGCTGTAAGTTAGAAAAAAGAGTATTTTAAATATGGTAGGCAAAGCATGTAAGAATTACAGAATTGATTATGTATATTGCTTGTTTGTTTGTGATTTTAGCATATCATAATTTTCTTAATGCAGCTATAATTTCATTAGTAATAATTGTATGAATGAGTTTATATGAAAAAGTTCTGAAGAATCAGTATTCTAAGAATCTGAAGGCTTGGTTTGATGTGTTGTTTTGGTTTGTACTCTTTTTCTCAGAGGTGCTATAGTATTGTTTCTGGTGGGTTGAGCCTAGTTTATTGTTCAAAATAAGTTTGATATTCTGCTTTAGTATCATTTGACTTATATATAATTTTATCTACTTTTTTAATATTGTAGATAATAACAGGATTGATATACTAATGTAATATACTGTCGATCATTTTTGTAGTATTGTCTGTGAAGTTGCATTATCTTTTTTCTATATATTGATTAATACAGTTAGTTTGTTGTTGTTCTCTAGATTTCTTGCTTGCTATAGGATGTTTCTATAGTACCAGACAGTTTAAAATATTCTATTTTATTTAACTTTTTAAAAATATTATAACTTAACTAAAAATTATTAAATAAACAAACCTTCTTACAAATTAATAGTTTATAACTCAATCTATCTTTTTGTAAGAGAATTTTTTTTATTTTTGTTTTTACAAAGTTATTATAGTGCAAATATTAGTAACTTTATATGTAGGTTGAGAATTTGGTGTACAGATCTTCATGTGATCACAAGAGATAAGCCAATAAAAATTGATATGACATAATCATGTGATCACGGCAAATCAAAATCAAATATATAAAAGACTTAAATGTATTTATCTTTTTTTTTTAATTAAATGCCAAGAACAATAAAGCTTAAACAACTGCAGCAAGAAAAAGCAAATTTAGCTTGTATTGTAAAGTTGGCAGACACCAATATACATAGCACCAAAACTAGCAGAATCAACAGCATCAGAACAAGCAATGCTATTAACTTCACCTTAAGTAATGAATCTGAAACCAATAGTTCAGTTAATTCTGATAAAGGTAGTGTCATTTATCACCTGATTTTTTTTTATCAGAAGCTTACCTCCTCTATCTCTCTTAATATATATTTTGATTAGATTTTTATATATAATTTTAAAATTTTATTCTTTTTTTTTTTAAAAATCACCTGATTTTTGTTATATTCCTAATGACTATGACATTTAAGAAGACAATTATTTTCAAGAAGACAACAACAATGATGACGAAAGAGTAAACTCAGTTATTAGCCATCTTTTTGCTGCTTCAGCTACAATTATTTAAAAAAAGCTGTCTAGCTGTTTATATTAGAAATTCAAAATGAACAAATCAAAGAAAAAAATATATTAAGAGAAGATGCAGTTGGATCCTTAAAAATTACACAATTTTTTTCTTCTATAGCTTCTATGCCAACCATTAATAAATATTTTTATAAAGGTGAGGATTAAGATAATGAAGAGTGCAAGATACAATATGATAATAAGGATATAACTAAGTATAATAATAAAAACATGACTAGATATAATCATAAAAATATAATTGAGTATAATCAAGAGAATATGATCAGACATAATAATAAGAATATGACCAAGTATAATAATGAGAATATAACTAAGTATAATAATGAGGATATGACCAGGCATAATAATGAAGATTATATTACAGAATCCTGATATTCAAAATCCCAATATACAAAATCCTGACAAACAAAATCCTGACATCAAAATCCTGACACTACTAAAATATTAATAGTAGTACTATTAAGATTTTGGCAGTGTTAGAATTTTGTTATTAGGATTTTGTTTGTTGCAATTTTGTATGTTGGGATTTTGAATGTCAGGATTCTGTAGTATAACTAATAATAAGGATATAACAGATATAATTATAAAAACATGACCAGACATAATAATGAGAATATGATTAGGTATAATAATGAGGACATAACTGAACAAGAAAAGAAGATTGCTGATGCAATTGATTTTGTGAATGAGATAATTCATGAAGAAAATTTCACAAAAGCTAAGAAAGCTTATTATACAACAACTCTATATTTTTTCTCAGTTATTAATTAATAGTAAAAAAAATTGAAGCTTCAGAGGTGGTTGCTGAGATAGTTGGTGATGGATCATAGCTCTCAAGATGCATTAGAAGATGAGCAAACATTTGTATAAAAGGTATAGTCTTATTATTATTCTTATTTTTTGTTAGAGATGATGCTAAAACATTGACTTATTTTAATATGAAATTTTAAAATTTTTAAGAGATGATTTTTAGCTTTTGTTGTAATTAAATTAGGGTTTAGGGCTTATGTTTATAATAAAAAAGTATAGATAGATTTTAGTAGAGTTTATATTTCTAAATCGAAACCCCACTTTTCAGTATCATCTCCAATATTTTTTATTTTACTTAGGCTTTTTGAGCTGTAGTTAACATAGTTTTGGTTTTTCTATATTTTTATTTATTTGATTTTTATATATTTTTTTTTAATTTAATACCTGATTTTAGGGAAGCTAATTCAGCACTATTGCAGAAAATTTTCTTCAAAAAAAAGCTTACTTAATAATAAATTAGTTTCACTTAAATTGGCCATTTATCTTTATTCTCAAAAGTTCAAGGTACTCTAACAATAGTTAAAAACTATGTTAAACAACACATTATCCTTTAATTGAATATTAAGTTCATATGATATATTTCTTTTTAGACTGCCCGCAGATAGTTGAACAAGCTTGGCTTCTGTTATAAATATTATAAGAAGAAAGTCTACATTGATAGTTATGAAAGATCTGATGTAATTACCTATTGTCAAATATTTCTTTAAAAGGTTGCTGAATTTGAATGACTTTTGTTAAAACAGTATGATAAAAATTGTCAAATCAGAACTTATCTGCTGTTAGTTGATGGTGAAAAGGAACATGTCTGGATAATATACTATAAGTCCACCTTTCATGTTAATGATGAACCATGTGCAATGTGGGATCCAAAAGGAGAACAACCATTAAAGAAAAAATGATTGAGTCTCAGTATATATGATAGTGATTTTTTAACAAAAACAATTAGACTACTCAAAGATAACCTTGAAGAAGCATGTGTAATAATAGTATTAGATTCACACCAATGATGAGTTTTGCGATATTTAAAAATTACTTAGTTAAGTCAAATAGGCAATAAATATTTTTGATAGAACATATCCAGACTGTATAGGTGAGATTAGATTACTTTTTTTATATAAATTTATGCAAAAGTTGTATTATAAAATAAAAAATTATTTTTTACAATTTTATTTGATAAAAGTATTCTGATTTATTATTTTATAAATATTATGTTTATAGGCATATTTGCCTTTGATAATGCAATATCACATATAGCTTTTGCTAAAGATGCATTTGTATTTTCAAGAATAAACCTTTATTCAGGTGGCTTTGTTCTAAAAATGTAAGAAACTGTGTAGAATAGACATCATCAGTCTATAGTTATCAAAGAGAATTACTTTGTTTATAATAATAAACCAAAATTGAATGCCAATTTACATGGTTAACCAAAAGGGCTCAAGTGGGTTCTTGATGAAAGGGGTTTGTAAAAGGATAGAATTGTTTTGAAATATTTTTGTACAAAAAGAGCTAAATCCTGATATAGTTGATTGTTGTATATGCCATTTGATAGCAAGTTAGCCTGATTTTTTTACACAATGTGGTCAGATTTAGCAGGAAATTGAATCCTACAGGCATAAAGTAACTATTTTTTATTTTTATTTTATTTTATTTTTTTTATATCTTAGTTCTTATTTAAATTTGTTAGGTCATATTTTATTCCAAGTTTCATTCTGAGTTTAATTATATTAAAATGTATTGGGGGGCAGCTAAAAAGTACACCTGAGATAATTGCAAATATTCCTTTCCGATGCTTAAACAAACGATTCTTGAGGCATTTAACTCTATCTTGATAGAAAAAATTCATTCTTTTGCTTGGTTGTCATTTAGGTGGATGGATGCCTATCACCATGGTTTGACAGAAAAAGTTGCTAAATATGCAATAAAGAAATGCAAAAAGCATTGGTCAATTAATGAAGATATTATGAATCATATTAATACAATTTAAGTTAGAGTTTGAAAGATATTTTTCTTTTTAGAATGTCCTTATATAATAATATTAATAAATTTGTTTTATTAATCAATGCTAATTGTAAATATTGTTTATTATTTTATAATAAAAACCTTTTCTCTGTTTTATATGCTTTTTTTATTAGATTCATGTAAATTCGAATATAGGCGCATATGGTATTGTGGTAACTGGAGTTGATACCTGACTGAAGTTGCATTTGACTAAATTAGATCCTGAAATTAGATCATTTTGCATAAATTTTAGGCAGGTGCAACTTCAATTAACTGAAGCTTTAATTTCGGTTGGGTGTCACTTCAGTCATAACATTCTCAAGCACCTACTTTACAGCTGTTATCATTATTACTGGGACATCTTAAAAAAAATTAACCGAATGATTATTCTGCCGATTCGATAAATTATTGATTTCGGCATAATCAATGCAATGTTTATTATTTATGAAGATAGTTTAAAGTTTAATATATATTTTTGAAATTGGTTGAAAATTCGACTTATTGAAAATCTGCTAACACAGCAATTGTTCGAATTTATAACTCTTCTAAATTTTTTTGACTACTTTCCAGTGAATATCCTTATAAAATACAATACTTAACTAGAGTTATATCGATATTGATTATCTGGTCATTATCGATTAATAATTGTCACTGCTGCACTATAAACAGAGGTCATTTAAAGCCTTACAAATCGATTAGCATCTACATACGTACGTACGTACCTGGCTTTAGACCATCTTTGTAAATAATAAACGTTACATTGATCATACCAAAATCAATAATTTATCGAACATAAATTCCGGAAATCTGGCAAAAATTAACAGACCGAATATTGGCTGATTCGATATATTTGGTCTGTTAATTTTTGCCAGATTTTCTGGAATTTATGAAAACAGCTGTAATTTTTCACAAGGTGTCCCAGAATAATTAGCTAGTGACCGAAGTGTTACATTAGGATATTCTCAAGGACTTAAATTATTAGGTCAGAACTCAATTTTTAATTAGTGGAAAATATTTTTGCAATAAAAAAAAGTTCAATTGGCTAATATTTAGATTATTTAGTAAAATTGCTACGAAGGTTATTTAATCAATCACTAGCTGATTACATTAAAGAGACGCTAAATCATTGCAATTAATTGAGTCATTATTGCGAGAATTGAAGAACACTTGATAAAAAAATTTATTGTGCGAAATGCGGTTTCGCACTTAGTTTATTTATGAAATTTCTGCTAAATTAAAGTTTGCTATCAGTTTATTAAGATGTTTGAGAATATTTAAATTCTATCTGCAAGCTTTTTTGATTTTTTTTTCTTATTCAATATTATAAAAAATGTGAATTTGTTAGATTTAGCATATCTTGTTATTGTTTTGTATTTAAATTTGGCGCCTTTATATAAAAAGTGGATGTCTTATATTGTCTTTATTTAAATTTGGCGCCTTTATATAAAAAGTAGATGTTTTATATTGTCCTTACTCTAGATTTGGTGCTTTAATAAATAGTTGATATTTTAGACTGTCCGGTACTGTATATTGTTTTTTACGGGATTGTAAAATAACGGGGTGCAGAAGTTTCGTACTGTATTTTGTTTTTAAAAGTATTGTACTATACTTAAATTTAGGTGTACTATATTATATATCCGTACAGTACACCTTTTCATATTATATAAAGGAAAATGCGTACTGTACTGTATTGAATAAAAATTATAAATAATAGTACAATACAGTACAGTATATTGAACTTTGCTAAAATATGCCGAAAGCGATCTAAAAATCTACAACTCAAAGCTGATTTAAATATTATATATAACATGAATATTAATTTATTACGCAGATAATAACGATAAATTAAGAAATTTTATGTAATAAATATGTAATTAATTCGAATACATGTTCGTCATTTACAATTAACATTAAGAAGCAATAATGTTATATTACCAATATTTTATTGTAATACATTTGTTAGTATTAACATTAGCAAAATATATATAGCATTCGCAAATATATAATATAATATATTGATACAACAATTTGCAAAATATAGAATTAAAATTTAATTATTTAGAAGTTTTTGAAGTTTTTCTCGTAACATTATTTCCTTTTCCAACTCATCATTTTTGTTTTTCTGAATGGCGAGCTTTTCATTTTCGATTCTTAAAATTCTTTCTTGTTCCTCAATGTTAATCGATTCACTGGTAACTCGAGCTTTTTTTGAAGATTTTTGATAAATCGAAGTTTCATTTGAACGTTTGCCTTTGTCTTTAAATTTAATAATTCATTATTAATAATACATAATTACAAAAGATGTAATAATATACAACATACTGGTTTTTTTAACCGATTTTATAGTTCTTTGTAAGGGTGATTTATCCCTATAAGATTCTGGTACGTTTGCTTTTTCGTACGTATAAGCTGAACTCCATTGAAGTTTGTCAAATTCTTTGGCTCTATTTTTAATTATAAAATAAATATTATACCAAAATATATGCAAAAGTTGTAGATACATACGTATTGTATAATCTCAATTTTTAATACACATACTTGGTAATTGCAGCCAATAAAGATAAATTATGTCCATTCCTGTTAATATTCGCATGAGCCAATTCTCCAGCATTAGTTGTGAATGGCGTACTAGTCCAAATCATTTGTGCTATTTTAGTAAAAGCAGGAGACAAACCAGCGAGTATCCATGATTGTTTTTTGTTTTGTACCCAATCTAATAAGTTTATATAATTAATAAATTTTATATATATGCAGCATAATAATTGTAAAACATACATACCAATAATACCGGGTTCTTCACATTTTTCAAGAAATTCAAGAGTATTCATAATTTCATAAGCCGTTTTACTCTCAATCAATGAATACATTTTTTTTTTTATTTCTTTATTTGTTCCTTTTTTACGAATATTTCTAAAATGATAATTTAT